AGGGTCCAAGCAGCGGGGTGCACAGATCCCGGACGAGCCCCCATTTGTTACGCACGTACAGCACCCCGTGAGGGGAGGGGAACATACACCGCGCTGCCCAGAACCCCAGACGGCCAGAGACCGGGTGTGGGCGCAAGTAATCATACCAACACCGATGGGTCTGGTTTAAACAGGCTAGCACGTGCCAGTTTATTAATAATAATAATAATAATAATAATAATAATAATAATAATAATAATAATAATAAACAATAGAGGGAAATGGGAGGACGGCTGAGCTGATCCAAAACAAAGAAATTAGCAAAACCCCACCCCTTACCTGTCCCAACGTCCTACACAAAACACTTATTTACTCTGGCGCTCGAGCAAGGCGCCCTAACCAAAAATACAGGGGGTGGATCGCTCAGATCTAACCTGGTGTGTATAACAGGAGATATCCCTACGGGTGATGTATGCCCAGGGCGTCTTTCCTAACACTCCCAAGTGCTTTCCGTTCTCCCTGGGAAGGACACACGAAATACAAATGATTAATACTTTCAATACTCCAAAACACTCCACCATGTACAACCAATTTCACAAGAGCACCCCAAACACAACCTTACACCCTGCCTGAGAGATCTGGACTGAACAACCAGAAACACATAAATACAGCTGATGGGACGATGCGATTGGAGGATGGGAAAACAGGAACCAGCTGTAGGAGATCACGGGAGGGCGGATGAGTAATGAAGACAATTAGCTCCACCTGAGGAGGGTTATCACACACACAGAACACAGACAAGACCGGGGGTCGTAACAGTGCCGTACGTGGCGATGCCTCCTCGCCTGCTTTCATGCTCGAGGTATCACTCAACCACATAGACAATGGGGTGAGAGATTTCATCTTAGGAAACATCAGCAGACCGGCAGATAAGATTTATGTATCCATGGTGAGGAGCGTAACCCCCCCCCAACTCGGCTGATGCTGAACGACCAACTGCATCACCTGGTCAAACAAATCAATGAAAAGATAAAAGCCCCACTCTGCAACATTCTAAACCTTTCATGTAGTATTTTCTTTTTATCTGCTCCCTCACGCAGCCGCCCCCTTTGTGCACAGCGACTGTTGTCCTCACAGACCAAGGCATCGCGTGCGGAACAAACGAAACCGCGTCTGCTTGGTGGATTTTCAGTTGTGGTAAATCTGGTCCAGACCTCACTTGTCACACTGGCTCCGATACCACGTGATTTGATTAAAATACAATATGTTGTCCCTTCTGAAATATCAAAGACACGAGTAGTGCAATCAATAGCAAAATGGCAAAACCGTTCCTTGACACCATTCATCCTCCAGCTTTCTCTGTCCTGCTGATCTCAAAAGCCTCAGTGAATCTTTGCCAAATCCCCTTCTACTCGTCAGCTTCAGCGCAGCCTGCGTCACTGTTCATGTCTCTCTCGCGGCACCGTCCTTTTTGACAGGTCCCCGGTTTCCAGGGCGATATGTGGAGCACTAACTTGAAAGTCACTCCATGGGATCTTCCTATTGGCTTACGCGGTTCATCCATTTCTGTTTTATTTGTGCGTCTGGCCGGTGAATGTGAGAGCCGGCTGGTTCAGACGGCTAGTCTGCGTTCCCTTTTCCATCACGGCCCACGCACAAACACACGCCCTCGGGATTTTGTACGCTGTTCTTTCTCAGCCTTCGTCCTTTCGTTGAGCTTTTTAAGCCATCACACAGTGAATCCCCTACTCACACATAGATATTCGAGGTTAATCTTGAACTTGACGAGTTTTTAAGTTTTCAAGTGTTTGTTATAAGGAAAAGCAGGCCGGCTCACATTTGTCTGAATTTACCGAAAAGTCAATTGAACCAAGTGCTGCTGCTGCATTGTGCGCTTTTGCCACATTGGTCCTCGGATGCCCATCAGACGTGCTGGCACTTTGATATTTATGGCCTCCAGCCGCCGCAGACAAAACAGAAACCAGCTCAGCTGAGGCCGGGGAGCACAATACAGAGGCTCTGCTCCGGGAACACGGCACAGAGTGCCGTCGCAACAGCCGGGCTAATTTGTCCAAGCAGCCAGGATTATAAAGCCTGACTGTGGCAATTCCCAGCTGAGCTCTTACTCTGCTCGGGGCGAGAGACACCTCTCCTAAACACATCATCCTCAGCCTTCTAACAGCCACGGTTCCGGGTCCATCACGCCGCTGCACTCCATTCTGTCTCCCTCGTCAGTAAATCACTTGTTATCTCCTCCACAGCTGCTAGAAGGCCCCAAAACGCTCCGGTGTCTTGGAAACCCGCCCGTCGGCCTCGCCTCACCGGCATCATCGTCTTGTGTGTTTTCTCAGACATGGCATCGCCTCCGAAAACAGCCTGACCCATGAGGCGTCCCGGGATGAGCAGCAGCCCACATACAACACGGCGTTCCCAGTCCCTGCAGAGACAGCCAGGAGGACCGTTGTCTCCGTGCCGGGCGGCACGCTGGGAAGCATCCGGCAGTACCGGGAAGCGTTCAAGGCCTACCTGCGTGTTGTGACTCACGAGGATGTCGGCAGCTTCAACCCCTGGGCCATCACAGACCGGTAAAAGCCTAACAGAGAGGGTTTCCTGACATCCTCCCCTGTGCATGAATAAATGATTTTTGCCTTTGAGGTTTTACGAGAGTACCTTAAGTACACGTTCGCAGTAAGCAGAGCCACGCGGATTCGACACTGGTCCCTCCTGCGCTCTGTTTCCTGCGTGGAGATGTTCAGTCTTCCCGCTGTGGGAAGATCACACAGTTTATGGTTTGCGCAGCGTGTCCCTGGTGTTCAGTGTTATTCTCCTCTCCCACTCAGACATTTACATATTTAACAGAATTCTTAAGTTGCTGCAATGCAGAATACTCTCCTCTGCGTGAACCTACTGAATCCGTTTGATGTATCAGATCGAAATCTCTCAAAGATACTTTTTAAGTTTTTTTCCCTGCATCACAGATATGTGTGTGGGCGCAGCTCGATAAACTGTTGCTGGCCAGTTCCCACCCGCGGGACCTGGCTGACTGTGCCACTGGCTCATAAACTCTCCCACATCCACCAACCCGTGCTTTCACAAGATGAATCTTTACTTCCTGAATTTGGAGAACAAATACGGAGGAGAGACCAATCACTTATTATTATTATTATTATTATTAACCTTTGCAGAAAGAACACAAACAAATGGACATCTAACCCCCCACCCTCCACCTCCTTTCATTCTGTCTAGTAGATTGATTGCACAGTAGCTGAACTTTAGCACAGGAATCGTTTATCCTTATTTTGAATTTTCTTTTATACTGGTGGACAGAATAATATAAATGAACCGGAAAACGAAGCAGGATACTATTTCTTTCATAAGTGAAAACTAATGTGTTTTTGGGGATGTAGTTTCATTATATTTCTGCGGGTTAGACACACATAATATGAAGTGTAATTCACGAAAGCTAATGAGTGTTATACACGTTTCTTAGTGGCTGCACCCAATCCGTCATTTACTGTGTCCAGTGTCAAGAGCAAGTATTCTTGTACTGAATCCTGAAAGGTCAAGGTAGTTCAACAAAGCGCAATTAACTCACTCACTTATTGCCTGTGTCCCTGCTTCAGTCTCCCACTTTTCAGAGTTATTTTCCTTCATTTTATCCCTTTGGAGTGAAAGGGTTTAAAATATGCAGCTCAGAAAGTCAATAGACTCATTGTTTGTTTCAAGTGATATAAAAAGCTTTTTATGTCAGAGTTCCTTGACCTTTATTATTCACCATATACATATCAGCCAGAAACCGAATTAATAATTGGGGACTTTACAACTGTGGCTTTTGACTATTTCTAGCTTTATGAAATTATAGTTTTATTGCATGTGATGCAAAACATGATTTTTTCAGATATTGGATGAATTATTGGTTAGTCTGTCTCCGAAACTGTCATCTGTCTCTGTCATCTGAAACGTGCTTCGATGGCAACTACGTCGCTGTGGCTGATCCCCGTGTTCCTCCCTGTCCCTCAGTCTGGCGGAGGAGCTGCTGGCGGAGGCCGTGGCCGACGTGGCGGCGGAGTTCCAGGATGTTGTGGAGGAGTACGCCGAGGCCGTCTTCACCTCGGAGTTTCTGAAGCCGACCCCGTCACCTCCTGCCGCGGCTTCAGTCGGTCAATAGGACGTTACGGCGCCGTGGATTTGCTCGTGTCTCACAAGTTGTAATACGTATTTATTTTATTGATAAATCTGCATTTTTTGAGACTTTCAGCACAAAATATGTAAATATAGACCTAAGACGATGATTCTGCTCTACTTTCTCAGGCGGATGTTTCATCGCAAAATTAAACTCATTTACGTCTGTACTTATTTTTTTTATGTACTAAGATCTTTATTTAATTGGGATTTTTTTATTGAAGCCGCAGCAGATGAGATTGTTTGATTGCACAGGGAGCGTCCTCCGTACTCTTCATGGTCCATCTGTATCTGTGATTGAATTCTGCTGGGAAAGTTACTTTAGTTTAGATTAGCTTGGAGAGACCCTTTCAGAGGATTATAAGATTACCGTCCTACTTTGCACTCCGTTTCAATCCCCCTGAGGATTACACACACTTTCTATTTTCACGTTAGTGTACGGAAATAAAATATTCGGTTCCCGCCAAAATGTTGCTGAAAGCCAGGAGGAAGTTGATTCCTTGTTTGGTTTAAATGTATAAATAAATGGTGTGACCACAGCAAAAAGCTTTCTTTCTCCTCACTGGTGAATGTGTTATCCCAGTTGCACACATTAAAGGGTACGGTGTTGATATTCTTTTTAATTGTTTTAACACCTTTTTTTTAGAATTCCTGTTTTCCTTTCTTTCCTCTGCGCAAAATAAAAATCACAGCCACGAGTTTGGGTACCGTAAACCATACTAATGGTGAGAAATGTCCCTTTTTGAATGCAAAATAAAATAGGAAGGACTTGGCAGACCAAAAAATTCCCCTGAGCGCAACATGAAAGCCGTGCAGTCCGATCCGCGGGGACACGTCCAGATGTTGTATCGGCCTGTGGGGACCAGCCTTTGACAGGGGACATACAGTGACTGAACAAATTAGCTCACATTGAATCCGCTGCAGAGACTTTCTCTCCCGCTGGCTCCAGTGTGGCCGTCGGAGTACGTGCCGGCTTTCACAGGCTCCAACTCTGTTTCATCTTCGCTATCCAGGACTAAGAGAAATTGCTGGGCTCGAGGAGACGCTGGTGTGGCCGTCTCCACGCTCACCAACGGGGCTGAGGGGGTTCTGACGTTGGCGAACGGGGACTTTTGAATTTTGAACTTCAAGTGCTAATTTCTGCTCATTTGTCCCTGTTGTGAATCAGAAATGTCAAACGAGTCTGCTGAGGGACGTTTTAAAGATCAAATATTTTCAGCCGGCACCACTTTTGACTGTGTCGTCGGAGTGAACCGCTGAATTGGCTGCCTACTTTCTTTGCACATCTGTCGCACAAGCAAGAACGTTCCAAAGCAGATGTTGCGGCTCACATAGCAGAATTGGGACTGGTTTGCACATATAATCATTTCAAATGGTCAGAGTTTTGACCTTGCCACCAGCAGGCAGGGCCTCATTATCAAGGCTAATTTGAGAGTCTGTGCAGGACACGGAGGACGGAAGCGTATCCGTTATGTGTGTAGAAAGCACTATGCCGTGCAGGTGCATCGGCGATGTGCCACGTGGGATGCTAATGCAACGTTTTAAACTAAATCTGATGGCTTATCACTCATGTTTGCTTTTTGAAGGGATCACTTCTGCTTTCTCAATGAACCATCTGTCATGCAAATTCTTGCATTGACTGCATCTTAGACATCATGGAAGTTCCTTTAACTCAAATTATTTTGAGCCTTCATTTCCAATCTGCATTTCATAAGACACCTGGGCAGCTTTGGCTTATCTGCATCATTAATTCAGAGGCGGCTTTTCATTTTGGGTGCAATCAACGGTCTCAGAGCCAGAAGCTCGTTATGAAACAAGTGAACAAGTAGAGTCCTTGCAGATAATTAACTAAATTCACACCGCAGACTTATGAAGAGTCTCATTGCATTGTTAAGAGGGTGAATAGACTGCCTTAAAACATTATTAAATCCCTTCTTGAAGAATCTGAGGTTACTTAATCTGCCATGAATATGGTTTTGTATTTCTAATTTTAAAGTTTTTTTAGCTTATTATGTTTTGTACAGAACATCAAATATTGATCGGAACCAGTAACTAGAGCTTTGAATTAAATACATATTTGCAATCAAATGTGGAAAACACACACACACACACACACACACTAAGCCTCTGGTCTGATTTGACATCGTAGCTTGTGGTCTCTGGTATGGAGTCATTTATTTATTTCATTATTATTTATTGCTGTAAAATCAACCTCTCGCTGATGTGGAGCTGCTGCAGCGTTCTGAGTAATGTGCTCTATTGCTCGGAGAATACTTGCATGCAGAAGAAATTCCCTTAATGCAATTATCCATTTGTTTTTTCCCCACTTGTATCCAGTCAGTGCAGCCATTTGGTGTAATCAGTGCTATCTGTCTTCCTGGCCTTGAGGCTTTCTCCCCATAGTTTTTCTCTGTGGGATCTCAGCTCAGAGTTCTTGGCCAGGAGTCTATTGTTATTGGCTCTCACCATGAACACAAACTGGCCGACTCTATTCCTACGCTTTGGAAATGTAGCCCGATCGGCTCTCAGGTTCCTGGGCAACGTTTTCGGCCACAGGCGTTTTCCTCTGTCAATATTCATTTGTGTGGACGCGGCTGCCAAATTACGCCCCGACCAGACCGTCCTTCTGGGATTGTGTGCCCCTTTGGTTGTGGAGAACGACGACGTTAACGCCTCACTGCTTATGTCCCTGGTAGGTTTTTCCCATAAGCGCTCAGTGAGAAATCCTATTTTGCAGCAATTTAGGTCAAGCATTGCAGTAGCGCAGGTCAAGCCCCTTCCTAGAAGTGACCACGGTGCTACCTGCCTTCCCAGTAATGGTTGACAGGTGTTTCAGCTGTAAGTCCTTTATCCTCGGTTTGCCGTGATTTAAGGCCCTCCTGCTCCTCAGCCTTATATACCTCATCATCTTATTCACCTCCTACATCGTGTAGCTAATACAGGCTTTTATGTTTCCCTCTCAAAGATTAGAACTACTGACGTGTGTAATTGGTCTAATATTCCTGCGCAGACAGTTGTATCAATTATTTTATGCAGCCAAGCAGATACCAACACGTATTAACTTCACATTTGGTCCTCAACGTGAACCTCCAATATCCCCGACGAGGGGGTTTGTCCACCTTCCTTCCTACCTAAGTGACATCAAAATGATTTTATTTAAACCTATTCATCGTATGATATTCGGTACACCCCACAGGGCCTTTCTCGAGGGACCCCCGAACCCCCCACCCCCCCTACACACCTCCCACCGCCACCTTGAGCATTTTGCAAAGTCAGTCACGGTGAGAGCAAAGAGGACCGACGCCATTCAGAAGCACCGCTGGAGGCGTTTTGGAGTCGCAGCCCGGGTCTCATTTTGGAGGAACTCTGGCTGATGTTTGCGGCGGAGAGGAGAGGGAGACGGGCGGAGAGGAGAGGGAGAGAGGGGGAGAGAGAGAGAGAGAGAGAGAGAGAGAGAGCTGCACGGTGGACATCAGATGTGAGCCAAGTCTGCACCGACCCAACAAATACCCAAAGTGTGTCTCCTTCATGGGCGGGTCGAGGCTCTGAGACCTGACACAGGTGAATGAGCGCACATCCGCAGAATCATTTTGTTTTCCCTTTACGGACTCGTCCCCCTCTCCCCCCCCTCCCTCCCCGGGGAGAGGAGAGACCGACGCGGCATCTGTAGCTCTGCGTGCAGCGGGCGGGAGACGGACGGAGGACGGAACGTTGACTAACGCGGCGGCTCTGTGCCGAGGGACCGCCGAGACGCGGAGATGTCAAAGGAGACGAGAAGAAAAGGTAAGTGTACCCCGGGGGGGACAGGGGGGGACAGGTAGACACACACCCGCGTCTCTCGTGCATCTGGAGGTTGCCTCGCGTGGACAGACGCGCGAGGCACGTTTGGGGGAAATCTGCAGGAATGTGCGACTGTCTGAAAACGGACTTGTGTGTGTGTGTGTGTGTGTGTGTGTGTGTGTGTGCGCGTGTGTGTGGGGACAGTGGACTGTCCAGCTTTGTTCTGTCCTCCTATCCGTCTGTCCTGTAAATGTGGGACCCGTTAGATTCTGTGACGCTGCAGGGTCCCGTAGACAAAAAAAAAAAATCGAAGCTGGAAAGAAAATAAAAATATGATAAAAAATAACTTTTTCTGAAATCGTCAAGCTTAAAGAATCCGGAGAATGAAGAAACCAATTGACTCTTGAGTCTACTATTCTATTCAGAAAATGGAACAATAAATCCGAAATGAAACCCCAGAATAACAACAGAGGAGTTGCTATTAATAGCAGGCAGTCTTCCATGCGGCTCGTTCGGTTGTTAAATTGTCGGTTTGTGGGTCATTGTTTACATATCAACGGGCCTCTGAGCTCGTGACATTTCTGTAGCATAAAAGCTCCGCTATTGCTCATTCAAAGGGAGTTTTGCCCTCAAATGATGCCCTCGAAGAAAGGCAATCCTAACAACACACTAAATACAAAGCACTTGGAGCAAGTGTGCGCCACTGAAAGCTCACTGGCTTCCCTTTTTTGTGTATTTGATTAAACAACACACAGGTTCTGTGCTGTGCAGCTCCTGTATAATCACGCTGGGGCCCGCAGGAGGGCATTGTCTCTTCTTCAGTCGGGTGTCTATCTCCTTGTGTCATCAAGCATCTCTCCCCAGCTGAAGAACCCCAGAATAAGTCCCTTAAATCTCTCAGCTTCAGTGAGGAGGACTGAAGGGGTTTGTGCTGCGCCCTTTTCCACCAGGCGAGGGAGAAAAAGAATTTCCCTGCAGAGATCAATAAAATACCAGACCCTTATTTCTCTCCCTACTCGTGACAAGTGTTACAAAGGAGAGGGAATAATATTCAATGTGGTTAAGGATTTAAAATATAAATGCCTCTGATTATTTAAGTAACATTCTCACTGGATACAAATCTGCACTGCCACAGAAAGCGGAAAGTCTCTGAAATGGAATATAGATAAGAAAAACATTTGCCATGTTGTCAAGAGGACGTGTCAGGCTGAGATCCGGAGTTGCATTAACCCGATAAATCTCCTGCTTCTTTTTCCATCACGCTAAGGCCACCGATTATACAGAGATGCAATGTTTTTTTCTAATTTGTAATAGAATTATGAGGATTTGAACAAAAAACATGACAGTACAGTAAATTCAACATAAGGCATAAGCTGGTAAAATGAATGAAAATGAATAAATAAATAAAGACAAAACATTCTAAAGGTCATTCTCATTCTAAAAACGGAGGCACAGATGTTCGGGTCACTGTTTGTATATTTGCATATTCATGTGAACTGAATTTCTATAAACTGCGTTGAAGAAGCAGCCGCTGAGGTCACCGTTAGTTCCACTCCAGAAATCAAGAAAATACTTGTGTTTTTATCAGACAATCTCGCAATACAAATGTGGTTCTTTGAATTGATGTGAGACATTTCTGTTATTTTTAGCTGGACGGTATCTCCAGTTAATCTTAATTATGTTGCATCGAGCCGTGATATTCACTGGCTAATGGAAACTTCACCGTGGGGCCTCGTTTCAGCCCAGCGCTATAAAATCCCGTGAAACCTTGAAATGCAGATTGAAGGCGATGTGCTGGATGTGGCTCTACTGCATGCATTCACATTTTGAGCATGCATTGCTTTGGTTCTCATTAAATATCGCTTGACTTCGGCTCGCGGTGTAACTTGTGAAGTCGAGCGGCTCCCGTTGACAAGTTGTTCTTCAAAGTCGACGTGGACTGGGCAGACTTTTTAATTGTGTGCTGATCGTATCGCTCCCATTTTCAATTATAACTGGGCTGCAGGGGATTCTACGTTACTTAATTCCAGTTTAAACCTTCTCTCTTGACTCACACGAGAACTGAAGCTGCACTTTTATCCAGGGTAAGGATGATCAAGTCAATGGCGAGGATAATATGCTACAGGTATTTTTCCATTGTCAAATTATGGCAACGAGCATTTATGGACCAGCTTTACAGTTCAGAGCGTCTTTTCTCAGCTTCTGCACAAAGGATGGCCGTGTGCCCCTGATTCACTGACTGGGAACCAAAAGAGAGCCACTAGTTTTAATTACTATTGAAAGATAATTGGAGCGGCAGGGTTCAGGACTTATGGCGGCTGTGCCGAGTAAAGCATCGCTCCTCAAAACAAAAGCAGGTCGACTCAAACATAGTCATTTTTTTCTGGGTTGGGTCCCCAACTATTGGTTGGATTGCTAAGACATTTTGAACAGACGTTTCTTGCCCCCAGATGTTGACTAATACGTATTTCAATTCATACTGGGAGATTTTGCAAGGGATTGGTATGAACTGCAAATATTCCTTCCCAGTTGCTGTTTATGACTTTATGCCTTTGTGCCTTCCTGAAGTGTGGTCATCTGGTTAAATGTCTTCATGGATTAAATGCCAGCAAATTGGATACACAACATTAGTGGACAATATTTTAATTTATTTAGCACTATCGCGTTACCAGTACACCCTCATGAGGCTGCTACATGGCTGTGGACTCTTAGACATTCAAAGATGACAATTGGCTATCAGCCACTTCACAAATGTTGCATTTTGGTTCCTTTTACTTTCTATAGGGACATGCAGAGGCTCAGTTCGAGCTGCTTTCTGTAGCCGGATGAGTCTTGATGCTGCCAAATCTTTTTGAGAATTTGATCATTTTCCGTCATCTTCCTTCTCCTTCCCTCCCGGAGTCCTAACTGATCCCCACTGTGGGTCCTCCCTAAGACTTTATGAACCATTTCCGCGCTCAGTGGGAGATATTGCACCCCGAAGCACTTTGTATTTGTCATATTTGATGAAATTGTATCAGTCCGAAATGTGTTTTTTTTTCATTTTGCTGTCCAAATAAAATAAATGGTCGGCCTACCTGCTGATTCGCTGAGAATCAGCGTCAAGCTAAAAATAGAGCTCGTGAACAGCCCCTGTCTCTTTTCCTCTGCGCTTCCCTCCCTGTTTCTGGGGAGGTGAATAGCGATTCTCTGGCAGTGTTTTACCGTTGAATCTATCATGTTTGCCACCTCGTATTCAGGAATCGACTGCTGGCACAAAAAGGATTTTATGTGATGATGTCAGCGATTTCTCAAATCCAGCTCAGTTGAAGACACAGAACACTTTAGATAATATGTAACACCACCAGCAGCTAGTTATGCTTTGGGTCGTTGTCCTGGCAAATGGTCCCCAGTCGGCCCCCCGTTTAGAAGCAATGTTCTCTGAGCTCCACTGAGGCCTGTGCTGATGCATTCAGCGCGTGACCTTTGCTTTTTTTTTTTACTCAAACATACCAAACTGGGCTAATTTGAACTTAATAGGTGTTTGTCATGAGGAAGCACACTGGGCCCGTGTCTCGGAGCAGCTATTCACAACGCACACAGCAGGCTGGCCCGCTGCGGCCTGAGGTCGGGGACGAGGCTGGTGGCGGGGGACCGCCGCCAGCCTCCAGACGTCTTGTTGCCCGTCACTGCCAATAGTCTCGACATCGCACCGGCGTCTGAATGCAGAGGGCAGAGATTGTGTTTTCTATCTCTACTTTAGTGAATCACAGATTTACTGATTAGTCAATAAGGAGATATTGAACCAGTTTACTCAAAAGCGATTCAGTGGTTCCGCCCTTTCAATTGTGAAAATATTGCCTTTGTTCTTCTGCGTGTTTAATGGCCGTAAACTGAGCGGCATTGATTTTAGACGGTTTGTCTCATGATACAAACACTTTTACAAAACATCATCATTGACGTCAATATTTTATTGATCATATTTATAGCTTGATTGAGGAATATAATCAGCTTTTGCCACTTCGCGGTGTGACGTGGCCGTGCGGTAACTTGCGAAATGTTAAGCATCCCTCAACCAGAAATCAAGCATAAGACTGTCAAGGCTAAACATTGTTTTTCAACAGCCATGTTGAAAATCAAAGCCTCCTTGTGGATCATTCGGCAGCTAAATGAGAGGGATGGATATTTCTAACGTTCTCCATGTCGGAAGATGAAAAGATTAAATGAGTTGGTAAATGATAAATTCAAGCCTTTAGCCAACTTGTTTCCCGACAATCCCAAATTGGTTTCTTGAATCCTTAAATCATGTACAACAAAATTTGAGATTATACTGTAGTTAGTCGGCAATCTCCTTACCAGCCAGTTGTAATTAAGCGGTTGCCTCTTCACGCAGTGCAAATCTCATTAAAGACCATGAGAGCATGCAGTTTGTAATGTAAGGCCTTCACACGCAGTCATCTTCGGGCTAACGGTACTGTGTGTGCTTATTGTGGGATAAAGGCAGAAGGGGAGACTGCAGGCTTGGCGGTCTACGATCGACACATTTGTGACGATAGATCGAGCTCCTCAATTTCTCTCTTCTGCTGTGGAGATTGATTTAAACTTTGTGGTAAAATGAAGCTTTAATTTGAGGACATGGCTATTAATAAATAGCTATTTCCAGCTCAAAGAGGACCAGGTTGGCTCTTCTTCACTGTTTACTTTCCGGGAGCGACGGGGTGTTCACTGTGGCATGAGATACACACACAGTCACCGTCTTTTTCAGAATCAATTTCCTTCACGTCTAGTCAACCTTCAGTAGAATTTCCTCTCGACGTGGTGGATATTGCACTCTGATGTTGTGGATCGTCCAATGTTCATTCAGAAGTGCTTTGCATCATCGCATCACCTCCTGCACCTCCCCTCTCTGCGCGACGGCAGCCGCTGCCATCGCTTATGACCCGCAGTATCTTTTGGAGTGACAGCGAGATCCTCTTTGTGGCAGTGGCAAGTGGGTGGCATCAAACTTGAGAGCCCCACCCCCT